TCAATTGCGAACAATACTTTACAACATTTTTATCATTTCTCTCTCCTGAAACAAGAAAAAGGAGAAAAACGTTTTCAAACAGAACAATCTCAGATATGAAATGTCTGTAAAGCCCAAGCTCGAGAAGCAAATGGGGCACGATCGATTCCATAGACCAAATTGGCAGGCAAAGCACGAGACTCCATCCAAGAAATAACACATAATTTATTCATGTTGCATGCATCTTAGACATACTTAGGTGCATCACATTCATCATTTTAGCATACATAATTTTGCAGCTTTCAGAGTCAAGCTTCGACTTCAGGATGAAGGCTACTCGACTTGCAAGCACCTTTAAAGAACGATGGTGTAACTCAGCAGCAAGAAGCTACACCTCAACCGACTTTACATAACTACAGATCTCAGAACCAATTTCAGATGGGTTCGAGAACCAATTTAGATCAAATCTAGTTCGGTTCAAACTCACCATGAGCAACATGTTTTCAGTTAACACTTTCAAGCCAGATTTAAATTCCACGACGGAAGATATCCGGCTGTCAGAATTTATCAGTAGGTTTTCCCAGACCAGCTTAGGGGAACCACCGGAAGAATCATGACCGTTTTCGACCCGTAAAGGGAAGCCATTTTTAAACAAACTATTTGCAGCTTAGCTCAAGGCCAGAAGGGCTACCTGCCACCAAGACCTTCGAGTTCGACTACGCTCAGCTCCAAGGCACATCATTTGCAGAATAGTTTAAGTCGAGAAGGGCTATCTGCCAAAGACCCTTAAGTTCGATTACACTCAGCTTCAAGGGCATAACATTTACAGCATAACTCAAGGCTAGAAGGGTTATCTGTCAACACAAGACCGTCGAGTTCGACTACGCTCAGCTCAACGGCAAATCATTTGCAGCATAACTTAAGTCGAGAAGGGTTATCTGCCAACCAAAGACCTTCGAGTTCGACTATGCTCAGCTCCAAGGCATATCATTTGCAGCACAACTTAAGTCTAGAAGGGTTGTCTGCCAAAAAAAGACCTTTGAGTTCGACTAAGCTCAGCTCAACGGCACATCATTTCCAGTATAGCTTAAGTCGAGAAGGGCTATCTGCCAAAGACCCCCGAGTTCGATTACACTCAGCTTCGAGGGCACATCATTTACAGCATAACTCAAGGCTAGAAGGGTTATCTGTGACCAAAAGACCTTCGAGTTCGACTACGCTTAGCTCCAAGGCACATCATTTGCAGCATAGCTTAAGTCGAGAAGGGCTATCTGCCAAAGACCCCCGAGTTCGATTACACTCAACTTCGAGGTCATATCGTCTACAACATAGCTCAAGGCAAGAAGGGTTATTTGTCAATAAAATTGTCGAGTTCGACTCTATTTAGCTCGATGATACCTCAATCACACTAATGTTCGGCTGCAATCGAGGTTTTCAAAGTCAAGATGAACACCTGGGTTAACCGTGCCTTAGTGACAAAAAACCGCTTTCCGACAGCATAGCTTAAGTCGAGAAAAGCCATCTGTCGGCGAGGACCTTTCGGGTTCGATTTTATTCAGCTCAAGGGTCTATCAATCACATGGTGGAGTCAAGGAACTACTTTACAGTCGAATTTTTAACCAAGGTCTTTAAATCGAGAAGAAGACCGAGGTTGACTACAAACGGACAACGAGAAGCCACGTTCCAATTCAAATTCCAGACCACAGCTTCAATTTCATATCATTTCAAGATGGACTCGACTTCGCGGCGGAGGAGTCATCCGCAACCCAATTCGACAGGGAGTTTTTCTTCAACTCCACTGAACGAAAATTTGTGTCTTTTTATCTTTGTCCTATTTTTCGTTCCACGAAAAAGGACAAAGAGGGGCAGCTGTAGACACTCATTTTCGTCTTTTTTATATATATATACATATATATATATATTGTATAGTTTGAAAACATTTTTTTAAACTATATATAATATATAGTTTTGAAAACATGTTTGAAAACATTTATATATTATATAGTTTTTAAAACATTTTAAAAATAAATATAATATATAGTTTTTAAAGCATTTTTGAAAATATATATTATATAGTTTTTAAAACATTTTGAAAATATATATAGTTTTTAAAGCATTTTTAAAACACATATATATTATATAGTTTTGACATTATTTTGAAAACTTATATGATATATAATTTTAAGAACATTTTTAAAAACTATATAATTTTGAAAACATTTTTTATAATAATATTATTATTATCGTTATTTTTTTTTTTATTTTTTTTATCTTCTATTAATTTTATTTTCATTTTTATTGTCAGGCCCATTTTGAGTCCAATAGAAGTCCAACGAAATTGGGGCCTGAACCAGCCCAGCAGCAGATTAGGGTTTCAGGTTTCATCCTAGCGCCGCATTACAGGGGACCATTAGATCAAGAGATGATCAACGGTTAGGAAGCTAGGGTTTTATCTCACCCTCATATTATCATCAACAGCGCCGCACAAGTCAAGGAAACCAAACGGTCAAACGGCGCACCGACCGGCCGAGAAAACCGGGACTGCACCATCCCGGGATTCCCGGCTACGTGAACAACGTTAGCGCGAAGTACACGGGAACAACCCCGTTATAATCGGAGCAGGCCACCAGTGGGGTGGGTATAAATACCCCACCACGGTGACACCAAAGGGGGGAACGGAGATAACCCCCGAGAACATTGCCAGAACATCGAAAGCCATAGCCACAGTAAACCAAGAACGAACCAAGAGAAACACAATACCCACGACGAACATCACAACACCACAACATCAACACAGCATCAACAGTAAACAAACACACGGCCAACAGAAAACCAGAATACACAACAGTTAGCCAAACGGCAGAACCCAAAACACAGAGCCATCACAAACGATAGTACACCGAGAAAAACCATCAACACACGACCAACATAAAACCAGAGCACAAAACAGTAAACCACACGACAATACCAACACAAAACCCACATAAACAACGAGCCACAAAGAACAAAGCAGTGCCAAAAACAAAGCCAACCGTACTAAAGAGCAAATCGGGGAGGTGAACGGTCGTCGGGAAACAAACGGTCTCGCGAAAAAGGTAAAGAACCCGGAGTTAGTTTCCTAGATCTACGACGGAGGAGGCGCTTCTAGGGGATATAGGGCTCGGTTTTGGTTTAGGGGCGTTGAGAGGTGCGTTTTGTGTAAGTTTCGAGTTTGTCCGGCCGCCGGTTATGGCGGCCGAAGCGATTTATGGCGGCCGAAGCGATTTCCGGCGACGGCTGTGGTGGCCAGCATTCAGCTGGGGAGGGAACCGGGAGCCCTCTCTCATTTGAGAGAGATGAGATTGTTAAGAGAATGAAGAAAATGAAACGAAAATAAACTTGGTTGTATATATATATAGTAGGGACCATTTTGCAATTAGAAGATATTTAAATTCGCTCCTCCGTCCCCCAAGGTTTGAAGCGCAATTCGTTTCAGTCATTGTATGCAATTTGGCCACTGGATTTTCAATCGACTCAATTCGGTCCCCATTTATATGTTACATTTTTTTGCAATTTGACCCCTGAATTCTTATTTTATTTTATTATTATCATGTTTTTTTTAATTATCATTATCTATTTTTACTTCGTATCGTTTCCATTTTATTACCTTTAAAATAATTTTTTTTATTTATTTAACTTTTCTTCAATTTTTTTTATTTTTTATTTATTTGTTTTTCTATCTAATATTCTTTTGTCTTTTCAGTAATAATCTCAATCGATCAAATGTAAGTAATTCGAATCGGATTTCTAAATTTCAATTTAAATTTTAATTTTCGCAATTAAAGACAACCGACAAATTAATTGGTACCGAAAGGGCGGTTCAAGGGTGCTAATCCTTCCTTGACTGTAACCGACTCCCGAACTCGACACGTTTCTGGTACAACGCAGATCAGGTAAGATGGTGTCCGACCCACCTAAATTCGTTTTAAAGTGGTCGGTGGCGACTCCAACCCAATTCATTTCAAGTCGAAGCCCAATTCCGGGGTCCAACCGAAAGACGGTTACGACAATAACGATCAACGATGAAAAAACGTTGGTCAAAGGGCCACATTAGATTTATTTTCTGAGTTAGAGGGTCACATTAAGAGAAAAATAATAAGAGGGTTACATTAATTTTTTAAAAGTACAGGGACTCCTGATGTATTTTTGCCAATAAAAAACCAATACATTTTTTCAAAAAATAAAAATAAATTATTACTCGAATCTTACAACTCCTAATTTCAAAACAGTGCCAGCAGATCACTTGTCCACTTTATCACGACGCCGTTTGCCAGGTCATTTTGCCCGTCGATTGGTCCATTTAAAAATTAATTATAATTAATAGGGTAAACTCGAATGTTAGTCACTAAACTTTAATTTATGAATTAAATTTATCTTAAAACTTTACAAATATTCCATTTTACCACTTAACTTTTGACATTGTTTTTTTTTTTGCATGACATGACACTTTGTTGGATCACATGTTGACTTACATGTCAACATAGTTATGTTCTTGATATATTTTACGATCAATCTAGATATGATCTTGAATTTGAGAGATTTATTATATTTATTTTAAAAATTGAATAATGAGAAGCATTCTTTCGAAAAGAAGAATAACATATCACAAAACTAACCTAATCAGGTGATTGTATGAGGAGATCAAAGTATTAGAATGTTAATTTTTTTTATAGATTTTCATCAAATTTAAATGAATTTCATAGTTAATCCAAGAATAAAAAGATAAGTGAGATTTGTATATTTTAATATTGATCTCGTCACAAATAATAACTAGTATCGATCAGATTTTGACACCATTGACGATTTAACGGTCCAATAACAAAAAACAAAAAATAATACAATGTCGAAGTTTAATGGTAAAATTAAAACGTTTTTAAAATTTGATGACTATTGTTATAGTTTAACCTAATTAATGTTACGAAATTCATACGCTAACCGCTGTTCTTTCAATGCTCCAAATTTTCTCCTCTTTCAGTTCACATTTCTTCTTCCTGCCAACAATATTTAACTTCTACCAATCTTTCTCTCTAAGAAAAACACTCAATTTCTCTCTTTTTATCACAAGTTCTTCTCTCTAGAATTCATGTCGGTATGTAATCTTTACTGATTCATTTAATTTTCTGTTTAAATTCGTTAAAATGAAGGTTTATCTTCGTTGTTTGATTTGATTTCTTTCTTCTTCTTTTTTGTGTGGATTTAAGCTTTTTGTGTTTTCATTCATATCTTTTGGGTTTCTACTCCTTTACGATTCTTAATTTTGATTTTTCTTTTTTGCTGATCAAAGTTTCTTCTTTTGCGCTGGTATTATCTTCATGATTGTAATTTTTACCCTTTTTATTTTGTGAATTGTTTTCTTTGATGAGTTTACTTGAAGATGGGTTTGAGATTTTTGTTTTGTATAACTGATTAGCTACAAAACCATCTGAGCAATTTATTGTATAATAAGTTCATAATATGATTTATGGTTAATAAGTTTTTTTGTTCTAGAGGGATAGTTAATATTGATTCAAATGGGATGCATTGGAAAATGGGTGATTGTTTTGGAATTTTTTTAGAATCTTGTCCTAATTGGAAATTTGGAATTAGGATGGTTTAATTGATGTACTATTATAGTTCCTGGTCATTGAAAAGTTAGGATTGTAATTGTTGTATTGACCCTTTAGCACACCCTCGGCAGGCACAAACGTTCATCGGAAACCGGCATCGGAACACCGCCCAGCACAAGACAAGATAGCTTAATCTGCCTAGACCCCCTCCCTGGCTAAGTAGGATGTATGACAGCGAACTAACACAACAGACTCTAAGTCGGCCTAACCTCACTCTTGACCATACGCCAATCCAATGGTGCCTCGCGGCATTAGGGACGTAGAGTATATAAGAAGACTCCCTCTCTCCATTTGGGAGAAGGGAGCCGAGTCCGAATATTTACTTCAAACACCACCAAACCTTCCCTCCCCTAGTTGTACATCTACAGTGATAAATTTCTTTTGAGAACATTCCGAGAGTCGATATACTGAAGTTCAATATGTGAAGAAAATTAGGTTTTTCTTCGGAGTGTGCAGAGGGCATGTGTTGTTATACTTGTGTAGTATTTGATATTTTAATTTGTAAATGGCTCTTGTTCATATTCTGTAGCAGATGAATCTTTTATATCAATCTCTTCATATTCAATTGATCCACCAATGTTCTGAATCTTCCGAAGAACACTACTGATTTGAGTAGCCAAATTTTAGAAGATCATATTGTTCCTTTCCTTCCATAGAAAATAGATGAAAGTGCTACAAGCAATATGCAAGATACTGCTGATCGAAGCATTGCCGCGTATTTGGTTGGTTGCCCATGATAATTCTTCAGCCCGATGGCGCAATCTTCGTTTTATCTGGCAAAGTTCTATCACCTCACACCATTAGAATACCTTTGAGTAAGAAGACACAATCCCTTTGATTCTTGTTCTAGATTGCAGAAGGGGCAGACCACTTCAATGATTAATCCCCATCGAAGAAGGCGGTCTTTGGTCAGAAGTTTACCAAGGATTGCTAAAATTTGTGCCATGTCATTGTCTGCTCTTGGTCTTAATAGCATTCCAAACTGTAGCAACTAGAGTTCTTTACGGGGTCTATCGCAATGTTTTCATTTTGACAGATGCGACGAATGCTTGAATTTCCATGACTCGATATTGTTTTGATTGCTAGTTTACATCGTTTTAAGTTTGACTTTTTTGGAAGATTCATTTTCTTTATTATGTTTCAAGATAACTTTTCCATTTGCCCAACAGGAGGAGAAGGGTCGCCCGTTGCCAAAATTTGGTGAATGGGACGTCAATGATCCTGCATCAGCGGAGGGATTCACCGTGATCTTTAACAAGGCAAGGGACGAGAAGAAAACGGGCGGCAAACCCGAGTCACCAGAAAAGGCTGATCTTTCTGTTAAGTCCAGAGCGGATCTCAGCGAACCCCGACCTGTAAGTAATCTTTAACAACTTACCTTGCTCATACCATCTCGATACATGCATTAGACGATGTTGATAACCAATTCTTTCGATGTTTCTTCGAGGCATGCATTAGATTTCTCACTCCTGAAGTGCTGTTTTTGTTCTTCAGAAAAAATGGTTTTGCTGCATTCGAGCCCCGGCTGCGGAACGGTAATGGAATCCTGTCTGTATTAGAGCTTCCACAAGTATGTTTATCATTAGAAGCAGAGTTGTTTCTTGTTGTTTACCTTCTCTTTGTTATAAGCTGTAAAGCTTTTTGTATGACATTTTCTTTCTTTAGTAGAGTGATCGGCTATATTTGCTCGACATCTTCGTTTTTATTGAAGTATTCGTGTTCGAACACTCGTATCCGGCACTTGGATATTGCAATATGACCTTCTAGGATCCGTTCAATTACATGAAAAACTCGTAAAATAATCGCACCGGACACTCACATTCGAGTAATTCAAGAGCAAAATGCAGAAAACATGAATGAGAACTCGAACTTTGTTGATGGATCTAATTGCCACTAGTCAATTTTTTCGAGAGAAAAATGCGAAAAACATAAATAAGAATTGATCACCGGTCAGCAGATAGGAACGGGTGTAAGTGGAATTGGCATCGGCTCTTTCAGTCTCGACTGGTCTACCATTGCATACGCAGCTGGATAATGTTTTTCATGTTTTTATTCCCATCTCTTACTAATCGAATGCATTCCGATCTTAAATGATTTCCCTTGCTTTCTTCACATACTTTCGATACCGGGGTCGGATTTACAGCATTACTAGAATCCTGAATCCAAAAGCATTTTCTTTCTTGTATAGATTGAGCTCCGCAACTCTCACTGCTAGTGTTTCTCATGTCGGCCTACTCGACGGAAAGTGTCTCTAAACATGAAAAGGTTTTCTCGGTTCGTTTCGACTTTCCTCGTTAAATAAATTCTTTGTTTGATATTAATAGAACAATATGGAGAATGTGGAGAAAGACAATGTGTAGTGCAAGATAGTTTTACAGATGTGCATACAAGGTAGATGAAGAGCTATGAAGCAGTCCCTCAATGGTGGTCATTTCCATCTTCGCCTGTGAAAGTTTCGATAAAGGGTTTCGACTTCCATGGTGGGAAGTTCTCCTTGCCTGTGCGAGCACACTATTTTTCACATTACCTGTTGGGATTATTCAAACAACGACGAACATGGTACGATCATTCTTGAAGAAATAGCAATAGCATTACAGATTCAAAGTCTATAAGCATGATTTGTTTAGGTGCAGCAACCAGGTGGCTACTATCGAGCGTCGAGCAAATACAAGAACCTGCATTATTGCTCGAGAGGAGTCCATAGACATGCCCTGGTGATGTATTTTACAGTGCTTCGATCATTAGGGGCGTCGTAGGTCCCCTAAGAATGTTCACAAACTACAGCAACTAGCTGCAGATGAACTGGTTCTTTCTGATTGGTTCGCTCGCCCTGGTTCTGGTGGCTGTCGTGAAAATTCCAGGAGAAAAAACGACCGGGTTAATACATATGCCATTTATCATCGTAGCTTCGCAGGCTATACCATCAGCTAAAGCAGTTTAATATATTTGTTGGGGAAGTGCTGGGATCTTCTTTGACTGGTATGTTTATAATCAGTACAAGGAATACTGGGCTAAACATGATTGCCTTCACAGGTATGTTTTTATCGGCTCTTCAACCCGATGAAATCAACGGTCGAGATCAGTGGGGTCATGATGCCACAGACCATCGTACATTGGCTCATTGTCCCACGGCACCCGGGATCATGTCCGAAGGATGCCCTAGGTGATATTTTGCACGACAGTCGCCAGAACAGGGCTATGTGATCGGTCAAGTTATAAGGAGATATATCTATAAGATGCAGAGAAACACAAACAAAGCAATAGGTCTAGGCTTTTCTTCCCCATATCTTCCATGTCCGTTTTATGATCTACGTTCGACCATTAGTATAATCTAGATCGAATAAATCAAAAAATAAATTTTAAAAAATAAAGATAAATAAAACCCCAAGGCAATTCATATTCTTGGCATGTTCATGCTGTTATGTAGTTAAAATTTATATTAAAAAAACTTCATTAAAACAAGGGCAGGCATGCATAGAATGGAAAGCATGTGGTCTACCAGCCAAGACTCTTCCCCCTCAATATATAGGCAAGCCTTTGGTTCATCACAGTTGATTCACTTCATTTTCTCTACCTACTTACATACAACTATTTTAGTCAAGTTTCTCTTCGGATTTTCGTCTTCCGATTATGGAAACTCGAAAAGAGGTTGAGATCGAGGACATACCGATGCCGTTGTCGCCTCCGAGGATGGGGTCTATGCAGATTGCAGGTGGCAACGGTTTCGGTCATAACATCGAGTTCATGTCACAGGCTTACCTCAGGAACCGGTATTCCGAGATCGATATCGAGGACTACACCGTGTATGCTGATAAAGATCAGCCTCTCCCCATATTTCTTAAGGTAGTTTGATTTCCCAGGTTTTCTTCGATTTGTTCGATGTTTTGTTTATCAGTATTAACTTTTGATATGATCCCGGTTTCGTATTCGAAGTTTGAAGACGTGGAATACAAGGTTCGGAGTCACCAACCTGCCTCGATCATCCCCGTGAGAGCGGTGATGTCGAAGTTAGCCTCGCAACTTAACTTGGAACATGATAAATACAAGGAGATCCTTAAAGGCGTAACGGGCAGCACCGGCCCAGGAGAAATCCTTGCTTTGATGGGTCCTTCTGGTAGTGGCAAAACAACCTTGTTAAAGATAATAGGCGGAAGGTTGACAGATAATGTTAAAGGAAACATAACGTACAACGATCTCCCTTACAGTCCGGCTCTTAAACGAAGGTTAGGCCGGTTTTTATCGGCGCTTTTTTCTTTTTTCCGTCATTCATCGATTTCGAGTGTTCTGTTTTCCTTGCAGGATTGGATTTGTGACGCAGGACGATATACTGCTGCCTCAACTAACGGTCGAAGAAACCTTAGTTTTTTCAGCATTTCTGAGACTTCCTAGTGACATGAGCCTGCAACAAAAGTATGCAAAAGTGGAGACGATTATGAAGGAGCTAGGCCTTGAAAGGTATGAACAAATATGAACCACATAGGGATTTACCTTTCACTCTAACCGTTGTGATAACCGCAGATGTCGTCACACGAGAATCGGGGGAGGATTGGTGAAAGGGATATCCGGAGGAGAAAGGAAAAGAACTAGCATCGGTTATGAAATTCTCGTTGATCCGTCATTGTTGTTGCTCGACGAACCGACTTCCGGTCTCGATTCTACTTCAGCCAATAAACTTATTCATATTCTTCAAGGAGTTGCAAAGGTATACTAATTGACCAAAATATGTACAAAGTGCACACAATTCCTATATAGAAAATGAGTAAAGATTGTGTGGTTGATGATAAACAGGCAGGGCGAACTGTAATCACGACGCTTCACCAGCCGTCAAGCCGAATGTTTCACATGTTCGATAAGCTTCTGCTGATATCAGAAGGCTACCCTATTTACTCCGGGAAGGCAAGAGACTGCATGGAGTATTTTTCGTCGCTACGATTCATCCCGGAGATAGCAATGAATCCGGCTGAGTTCTTGCTCGATTTAGCGACCGGCCAAGTTCATGACATAACTCTGCCTGAAGATCTAGTGGCATCTCAAGGAACGGCCGAGACCGACAAGGCTGTAATCAAAGTATAAACTCTTTTTGACAATGTAGTTGTAATTTAATCCCTTTCTTCATATGATCATCTCCCTCTCAAAACATTGTTTTTCTTTACATTATATCAGTATCTTCAACTCAAGTACAAAACTCATTTGGAGCCAAATGAAAAGGAAGAGAATCACCGGAGTACCAAGGCGCCGCAACATCTTCGGACGGCTATTCAAGTGAAGAAGGACTGGACAATAACTTGGTGGGAGCAGTTCATGATAATAATGAAGAGGACGTTTCGAGAGAGACGAAGGGATTACTTCGATAAGCTGAGGTTACTACAATCACTAGGAGTTGCAGTCTTGCTCGGTCTTCTTTGGTGGAAATCGAGCGCCACTACCGAGGCTCAACTGAGGGATCAAGTAAAGTTTCTCGAACTTCATTTTACAAATCTTTGACTCCCCATTACATCAAATTGACGACTCTTTCTATTTTCAGATTGGCCTGCTGTTCTACATCTGCATCTTTTGGACATCATCGTCGATTTTCGGAGCGGTATACGTTTTCCCGTTCGAAAAGGTCTATTTGGTGAAAGAACGGAAAGCCGACATGTACAGGTTAAGTGTATACTATGTTTGCAGCACTTTATGTGACATGGTGGCACATGTTCTGTATCCTACATCATTCATGTTGATTGTCTACTTCATGGCTGGTTTCAAGAGAACAGTCATTTGCTTCTTCCTCACGTTATGTACCATCTTACTGATAGCTATTATAAGCCAAGTAAGTCGAGCGATTTCAGATATACAACGTTCTTTGCTTTTAAGACTCAAATACTCTTCTCCGACTAACGCGATCTTCGACTTCACATATGACCGAAAAACTAGGGAGCGGGAGAGCTATTTGGAGCTGCGGTTTTGAGCATTAAAAGGGCCGGGATGATGGCGTCTCTGGTGATGATGTTGTTTCTTCTCACAGGAGGTTACTACGTCCAGGTACTTGAAACTACAATCGACATTGCTTTCGATTCTTCATCGGATCGGACGAATTCACTGAACAAAGTTGTTCTGTTTTGCAGCATATACCGAAATTCATGCGGTGGATGAAGTACTTATCGTTCATGTACTATGGCTTTAGGCTTCTGGTGAAAGTGCAATACTCTGGGGACCAATTGTATGAATGCCAAAGCCCGGGCGGGTGTCGGAATCTGCAGGATTCGCCTTCGTTCGACACGGTTAACCTCGACGGAGGCCTGCAAGAAGTATGGATTCTACTCGCCATGGCGCTCGGATACCGGCTGTGTGCTTACGTCTGCCTGCGCAAGAGAATTAGGTCATGTAATATTTGAGCTGAATCTACATTGCTGGGAAATATATGTAACAAGAGAAAAAAAGTTTGAGGGGCTTTGATTTTTCCTTTCCTGTTACCTTTACCAATTCCAGGCATGTGCAAAGCTTTTTAATATAATTTTGTCATCAATTTTTCATGGAGTTAATTGTACCATATGCCCTCAAACATGACTTTTATTTTAAATTAATCCCTAAATTTTTAAATATTACAATTTAATCCTTAAACTATGATTATCATCCTAATTTAATCCTCAAACTTTTAAATATTTTAATTCCATCATTAAACCTTCATTTAAAGTGATGGCATAATACCAAAAATAACTCATAACGTTTACCAAGACAGTCATTGTTTTGGCCCCCAATATTTTACTAAGGGCAACAAACTCCCTCTACAAATTAAAACTAATAATTAATACACAATTAATACTCTTAAATAGGGGTCTTTTTAACCTCAAATGAAATATTGAGGTTAAAATAGTATAGAAAAAATAAGTATCAAAATAATTATTTTGTCAAATGTTAAAGATTTTTCGTAAAATAAAATATTGAGGGTCAAAATACTCTAAAAAATAGAATAAGGATTAGGAGCTAATTTTGATATTATACCTAAATTGATCCCAAACTTTTTTGAATATTTTAATTTAATACCAAACTTTATGTCTGAAAAGGACAAAATTTTAGGTTAAATTATAATTAAAACTAATTAATTTGGATGAACTTAAAGATAAAATTGAAATATTCAAAAATTTAAAAATTTAAAAATTAGGATGAACTTAAAAATGAAATAAAAATATTCAAAAATTTAATAACCAATTTAGAAAGAGAATCATAGTTTATAGATAAAATTAAAGTGTTAAGATTTAAAATAAACGTCATAATTTAAGGATGAAAATAAAATATTCAAAAGTTAAAAATCAATTTAAAATAGAAGGTATTGCTTAAAGACATGATGCAATTAACTCAATTTCATGGCATCATTCATTTAAATTGTTTCGAATCGCGTAATCCAATATGTAATCAAAATCCAGAATGATGCAAACAATCAAAACGAAGTAGAAATAAAGACTAAAATTCCCAGTAAAAAAAACAGAGCATTTATCATTTAAGATCGTCTCCAAATATAACTACGCAAAGCCTCCTAATGAAGGCACCAAACAAAATGTGAAAGACGGGCTAAAGGATCGTTCAAAATTAAAATAGCACTACTGAGTTCGTCTAAGAAACGCTTAGTCAACTTCCTCCATCTTGCTTCCTTCAGCATCGGCATCCTCCAACGGGGGCATGTCAGCATCGGCTTCTGCTTCACCTGCATCCTCATCGATGCTCAGGCCGAGTTTGAGCATCCTGTGGATTCTATTGCCAAAGGTGTTAGGGTCGTCGAGGCTGAACCCGGAGGTAAGGAGAGAGGTCTCGAAGAGGAGGAGTACAAGGTCCTTGACGGATTTGTCATTTTTGTCTGCATCAGCCCTCTTTCTCAGCTCTTCCATGATGGGGTTCTCGGGATTGATCTCCATAGTCTTCTTGCTGGACATGTACCCAGCCATGCTGTTATCCCTCAAAGCCTGGGCCTTCATGATCCTCTCCATGTTGGCAGTCCAACCGTACTCACCAGTCACTAAACAGCAAGGAGAATCGACCACACGGTCGGAAACCACAACCTTCTCAACCTTGTCACCCAACACATCCTTGATGACCTTGCACAGACCCTCAAACTTCTCCTTCAAAGCTTCCTTCTTTTGCTTCTCGTCCTCACTCTCGTCGAGTTTCAGACCTTCCTTGGTGGCAGACACAAGCTTCTTTCCCTCGAATTCTTTCAGCTGTCCAACAGCATACTCATCAATAGCATCAACCATGTAAAGGACCTCATAGCCCTTCTTCTTCAGCTTCTCGAGGAATGGGGAGTTCTCAACAGCCTTTTTACTCTCACCAGTGATATAATAGATATCATTCTGACCCTCCTTCATTCGGGTCACATAGTCCTTCAAGCTGGTCATCTCATCGCCGCTCTTGGTGGAGTGGTATCGCAGTAATTCGGCAATCTTAGTCCTGTTCTGAGAGTCCTCGTGGATACCAAGCTTGAGGTTCTTCGAGAAGGCCTCGTAGAACTTGTTGTAATCTTCTTTGTTCTCAGCTATTTCAAAGAAGAGCTCAATGCACTTCTTCACCAAGTTCTTGCGGATAACCTTCAAGATCTTGTTCTGCTGCAACATTTCTCTAGAGATGTTGAGAGGCAGGTCCTCTGAGTCGACAATACCCTTCACAAAGCTGAGAAACTCGGGAATCAAATCCTCGCAGTTGTCCATGATAAAGACACGTCTGACATACAGCTTGATGTTGTTAGGCTTCTTCTTTGTATCAAAGAGATCAAAAGGAGCTCGCTTTGGAACAAAGAGGACAGCCTTGAACTCAAGTTGCCCCTCAACTGAAAAGTGTTTGACAGCCAAATGTTCTTCCCAATCATTTGTAAGGCTCTTGTAGAAGGCCGCATATTCCTCCTTGGTAATCTCCTCGGGCTTTCTCATCCAAATTGGCTTCTGTTTGTTCACCAAGGACCATTCATGCGAGACCTCCTTAATCTTCTTCTTTTTCTTCTCTTCCTTCTCCTTCTCCTCGTCAACATCCTCGACTTTCCCTTCTTCATCCTTCTTCTCATCCTCATCCTCATCATCAGAAATCTCCTTCTCGGTAGTCTTCTCGATCCAGAGGGAAATTGGATAGCTAATGAACTCAGAATGCTTCTTAATCAAGTCTTTGAGGCGTCGCTCCTCGAGGTACTCAAGCTGGTCCTCTTTCAAGAAAAGAGTAATCTTAGTACCCCTGCCAAGATTCTCCCCAGAGGTATCCCTGGTGACGGTGAATGACCCACCGGCTTGAGATTCCCACACATACTGTTCATCATCATTGTGCTTCGTTGTAACAATCACCTTGTCAGCAACCAAATATGCAGAGTAGAAACCGACACCAAATTGACCAATCATACTAACATCAGCACCAGCAGCCAAGGCCTCCATGAATTCCTTTGTCCCAGATCTCGCAATGGTACCAAGGTTATTCACCAAATCTATACATAACAGCGATATAGTCAAATTTGGATCCCATTTAAATGCACAACAATTAAAGAAGCAAAATAATAAGTACTTACCAGCTTTGGTCATGCCGATACCACTGTCAATTATCGAAAGAGTATTGTTAGTCTTGTCTGGAACAATATGAATGAAAAGCTCCGGCTGAGCATCTAGCTTGCTCTTGTCGGTCAAGCTCTCAAATCTAATCTTGTCCAAAGCCTACAAGTAACAGTTTTTAACATTGTAACATACAGTAACTACGCCTAAAGGAGCATTATATCAAACACATTACATTCACAATATCATTCTTTTGAATTCACAAACACATAAATAAGCACAAATTATATCTACAAGAAAGATCAAATTCACTTTCATCTAATTTTCATTTCTAAACATAAAACCTTTCCCTGAAAAAAGCAATATGCGAATCAAAACGAACAACGACAGAACAGATCATTACGGATTAAGAATCGGAACCAATTATATTCATAACCGTAGAAAAACCTAAATTTCTCTATAGTACAAACAGATAACCAAGATCATCAACATCAAATCATAAAATATCAGATCCGTCGAATTATGCAACGGAACGAAATTATCAAAAAAGAATCAGATCCATATAAGGAGAGGACATACAACATTCTTATACATTCATAAACACATAAATAAGCACAAATTTCTTCTACAAAAAATCAGTTATAATTTAAATTTCAAAAAATTTCATGCATACGAAATCCATCGTTTCATTTCTAAACATAAAACCTCTAGCTAACAAAAGCAATATGCAAATCAAAACGAACAACCAGAGAACAGATCATTACGGATTAAGAATCGGAACCAATTACATTCAAAACCATAGAAAAACCTGAATTTCTCTATCGTACAAACAAATAATCAAGCTAAACAACATCAAATCAGAAAAACACAAGCAGATCCGTCGAATTATGCACTTTAACGAAATTATCAAAAAAAAAGGAATCAGATCCGTAGAAGGAGAGGACTTACATCAGAGGAGTTGCTGATGAGCTCACGAAGAAATATCTCCTTGTTGCTGTAGAAAGTGTTGATGATCAAACTGAGAAGCTGGTTGATCTCGGCCTGGAAAGCGAACGTCTCTGTATCCGCCATCGTTGAACAAACTGTAACCTCCGGATTCGAATGCAATCTGAAGAGTTGGAAATGAAGGGGAAGGGGAAGAAGATGAAACAGAGCATTGAGTGTGGGCTATAAGGAGAGTTTATATAAGGGAAGTTCATTAGGGTTTCTGGATCCTTCTATTAATTATTTTTGAAAAATTAAAAAATAAAGGAGTTTTGGACCACTCGTTCATACTTTATACTTTTCTTCGTCAATTGCATTTTGCTTTTTCATACGAATTTTCTTTTCCCCTTTAGTTCTTTTCATTTTAGGTCTAATTCTGTCTTGAATCCTTATACTCTTCATTTTTTTTCAATTTAACTATATGACATTTTAATAATTTAAAAGGTTAAGTTACAACTTTAGTATCTAAACTATTAATTTTGATCCATTTTAGTACTGAAACTTATAATTTTTTTTTTAAAATCATATCTAACATTTAGTGTTTTATGTCATTTTAGTACTATGTCGTTAAAAACTTAACATGTGATTTCCACGTGAACCTTTTTTATGAATAAATTGTATCATTCATCATTCAATTATTTTCTCACTCCTATTTTGGTCTAAAGTTTAAATTTTTTAATTTAAATCACTCTAACTTTAAAATTTATTTTTTATTTTTAATTATATTAATAAAATAATAATGATAATAATAATAAATGTCATGACACAAAAATTATTAATAAAATAAAATAGAGTGATTAAAATAAGAGTAATTTGAAAGTTGAGTAGTTAAATTGAAATTTTTAAACTTTAGTACCAAAATATGAGTGAGAAGATAATTGAGTGATGAATTATGTATTTTAACCATAGAAAATACAATGTTGTTCAATTTTTAACAGTGAGAGGTACTAAAATAAAATAAAAACTAAGCGTTAAGTATAGTTCTAAAAAAATTAAAAGTTTAAATATTAAAATGAATCAAAACTAATAATTTAGATATTAAACATTTAATTTACCCTAACAATGGTGATATGAAACTTTGATTTAATGGTTTTATTATTATTATTATTATAAGGTTCAAATTAAATGATAATATTAAGAGAAAGGTCAAAGGTTGTTGATGATTCTCTGCCATGTGGCACTTTCTTACGGCTAAATTGCGTGAGTTATTTATTTTTTTGGAAATTTACTCTAGATACCATTGAACTTTAAGTTCTCACTCGTTTATACTATTAAACTTTAGATTTTATCAACCATAGCATTGAATTTTGATTTCTCTTCAATTATGTCACTTCACTGTTAAATCACTAACAACACAGTGACATAGTTAATGCTCAATGACATGAATGTCACACTAAAATGATATTATTTAGTACCATCCAGCTCAATTGGTAGAGCACAAGGTTCTTAACCTTGAGGTCGTGGGATCGAGTCCCACGGAGGCCATTTCATAATTCGGAGGTCTCTTACGGAAGCTGCTCTCAACCTGGTGTTGGGGGTAACCTACTATCTTACCTCCCCCTTACCCCATATATATGGGAAAAAGGGGCAGCCATTTTTTTAGGCACTAATATCATGATCTCATATGATGATTTTATTATGAAATTAATTTTCAACGTTAGCATATTGAAAGTTTTTGGGTAAAGTATATAAATAGTCCCTAAATTTTTAGGATGCTTATAATTTGGTCACCCAACTTTTGAAACTTGCATTATAGTCATCGAACTTTTATTTCATTTTCATTGTTGTCCCTGCAGTCACCCACCGTTAGTGGGCTCTAACGCCACGTTGCCAACCCCATTTATATTTGGCAAACATTAAAACATAATTTGCTAAACTATGTCGTTTTATATTTGGGAATAATGAAAAGGGTTTAACCCTAAAAGAACTTCATTTAGCGATAAAATTGGGTTTAGATTTAATTCGGGATTTTTTTGGTTAAGGGTTTTCTCTTGATTAAAAAATACGAGAATGTAAGGATGATCAAATAAATAGTTTACACAAAAAATTAATACTTAATTACGCCTCCAAAATAGATATTTATTATACAACTGATAAAAACAATATTTAGATTAGATAATAATAAAATTTATTGACTTTTCTTTAGTTGTCGTTGTTGGTGATTATTAGTTCCCTTATTATTTTTTATATATTATGTCATTTTTTGTTCTAGTGTTTTGTTAATTTTGAATAAGAATCTCTGTCATCGTGATACGTTTTTCTCTACTCTTATGGCACGTATTTTCTCTGTTATTGTGACACTGTAGATGCTCATTTTGTCCGGGGATTTCATTCGAGTTTTCGTTTGTGTTTATATATATTATTAATTAGTTCAAATTGTTGGGTTGGTTATTTAAGTATATACATATAGTGCGCATGTTATAAGTATATACCATATTATTAGGTTTGTGTGAATACATATTTACATGTGTGTATATATTGGTTAGTCATTAATTATTATTACTATTAGTTATGAGTATTATAATTAGTTATTTATATGGGATGACTATTATCTATTACTTATTATATTTAGTTCTGCGCCTTTATATATATATATATATATATATATATATATATATATATATATATATATATATTTGTATGATTATATTTTTACTTAGGTATATGGGTAGTGTGCGTTTAACATGATTAATTATACATTATATTGTGCGTGATGTGTAATTTATCCATAAAAATAAGGTGTTAAGTTTTTAATAATGAGATATTAAAATGATAAAAAAACTTAAACGTTAATTATGATTTTAAAAAATTAAAAATTTAAATACTAACAAATTAATAATTTAGACACTAAACGCTTAAATCTTAATTTACCTTTCTTCTTTCATCCTTTAAAGTTGATTAAAAAATAAGGTACATATTAGGGTTTTTTTTAATGTAAATCTGAACCCAACCCAATCTTATTCTTAAAAAGAATCCGATCGTACATCATAACGCCATATAGAAAGACCCGATTCGAATTTAAATTTTCAAAAAGAAAAAAATCGACCGAATCCGGTTGAATCAAAATGGTCGAGTTTTAGGTCAAATGTTCATCCCTGATTGCAGTTTTATATAAGTTTCAAATGATGTAGGTGCAAGTAGGAGGAAAAGTAGCATTGCATTTCATAATCAAGAGAAACATAAATGCTTCTTTTGCTTTTGCTGGGAACTGAATAAGAGAATTTTAAATCTGTGGTCCAAGAGGCAGCCTACTCATTAGTTGCTGGTATACTGATGTGTTGTTGGATAGATCCAAGCCGGGTTCCGACAACGGCTCCATCTTCGTTTCTCCTCTCGGAAACCTGAAACCGATTTCGTTACCCTGGCGAGCCATATACGGATGAATGGGCAGAACCGGGAGCTTCGGTTGGTCGCGTCCCAACCCGGCCATTGCCAAATTAGCCAGACCTGGTTGATGCATTCCAAATGAGAAGCCGGGAGAAGGACCGAGTTGTTGCCTTCCAGGTAGGGTGAATGGACCAAATGATGTCGGTCTAACCATGCTGTTGTGAAGTTGTGATGGCTCCGGCCTGTGTGCATGGCTTTGGATGGAAGAAGCCATGGCGGTTGCTGCGTTCGAGGTAGCGGAATTGGCATGACTGCTATTCCGAGCGGCCGGTACACCGTGATTGTGCTTTCCTTCGTAGGTAGTGATTACTGATTTAAGGTCGTGCGATGCCCTCTCGACGTGCTTCCTCACTGTGCAGCCCGAGCTAGTGCATTTGTAGTAACTCCTGGCATCAAAACAATTGAGAATGATGTTCTGCATTATATTTGCAGTCGATAACGGTAAACTGCTGTATCGAACAATGACGGAAGGGAAAAGAAAAACCTTGGATTCGGATTTCCTTTCACAACTTTCTGACCATACTTGCGCCACCGATATCCGTCTTCCAGGATATCGACCTCACTGGTTGTCTGGACCACAACTCTAGGCTCACGAATAGCTCGTGTGGCTCCGCTAATTTCCATTGCATAATCTTCGATTTTCCTGGTATAAAACATGAAAACATTCGCATTGCGATCTCAATAGCAACATTATCCAAACAGTTTGTAAGATGCGAACCTTCTCTTTGACTCGGATCCAACTCCTTCACCTTCATAACCTAATGAGATACTTCCATGAGTGCCCCAATCATCTTCGTCATTAGAGAAGGTAGATGAGACGTCCACTGCATCACCGGATTCAATGTGAGTAGTATTTGGGTCCTGTCCATTGCCATTCTCGGGAGATATTGTTGCAGACGTTGTCATCTCAGTGCGGTCATGTGACCAATCCTGAGGAGCGGCAACCGTTCCCTTTTGTGCGGTTGTCCAAACAGGACCGCCATCTATACCATTTTGAAGGCCAGTTTGTTCAGGTCGCTCGAGTTGCATTTCACTTAATAGGTTGGACGATCGGCGGTTCGGTGGAGGCTTGAGATGGTTATGAGCTCCCTTGTATATGATCTCCGTTATGTGACCTTCATGAGAACGTTCGACTTTCTTCTTAACTTGACAGGTCGGATGCGTGCACTTATAATAGCTACGAGGATACTCACTTCCTTTTACTTGTTTTTGCCCGTATTTTCGCCAATTATATCCGTCATCGGATGGCACACCACCAACACCACCAGCCTCTCTGCTAACTCTTTGATCTCCTTCTTCATCCTGTGGCTCATCAAGATGCTGTGAATGTTCAACATTCCCACCAACAGGATCAAAGACCCTTTGTTCTGCAGAGTTATTACTCCCGGTATCTTTTTCCATTGATGAACGAGAGAAATCCGCCTGAAGGTTGAACATGTTGCTGTTTTGTGGGTGGAGTTTCCTCAGGTCTAGACTTTGAGATGCATGAGAACGCTCGGACTGAACCGAAGCTTCAGTATTAGGAAAGGACTGCTGAGGAAGACCAGCCAGATTAACCTGCATTCAGAAGGAAAATTTCATAATATTCCGTTCTGAGTTCTAATTCGTCGGGGTAACTACCAGCATTTAGAATACGAGTAACAATGGAAGCAGGAACGAACGTGAATAACATCGTGCAATCCAAAGAAAGACCTTTTTATTCGGCAGATTACATACTTTACTCGTTGCACCGAGGAAAAAACAAGAATTCGACTCCGCAACAGGTTTGAATGCAAACGATGCATTGATGTCTTCA